AAAGTCTAAACATTGTATGATGAACGATATTGAACTATATTGGAATGGTAGTGCATTTGTGTTGGAATGATAATTGTTTTAAACTTTTTGTAGGAAAATTATACTGTTATATTATCTTAAAAATATGGTGAAGACTTTTTTAATAATCCAGATTGAAGCTACGTGCACTCATGTATATGGTTTTAGATCTACGAATTAATCTAAGCACCTATTTTACTCAAGTTAGTCCACTACTGCAACAATAATGTCTCATTCTATTTAAGGCCCATCATTAGTGCCTCATCAGCCTCATTTGCAAGAATAGATTGATGAGTTGTGGACCAAGTTAAAGACTGAATTAAGGACTAAGTTTAGGTTTTTCATGGATCAGATGATGTAGTTGATGAGATCTAGAAATTTTTGCTAACACAAATTTTTAGACCAGATGACTGTAACATTGATTCTAGATCAGGAGATGTAGCAGTACAATGAGCTCTTATTGAAAACTTTTGAGGATGTTATTGATATTTTTATGGATGTTATGAATATTTTTTAGTATTATATTTTATGGATGTTAGAGATATTAAGAATATTAACTTTATAATTTGAATTTATTTAATGGTTATTATGTGGATTTTTTTATTAATAATAATAGAAATAATAAGCTTTTTGAATAATTACACATGACTGAAATTATAATTTTACCAATGGTATTTCACTATTATCGATGAAATTTCAATTATCGATGAAATAGCAACTAAGTATTGACAAATTTACCAATAAAAATCACCATTTATTGATTGATTTTTAGTTAATTACCGACATATTATCAACAAATCTTTTACTTTTTATTAATGGTATTTAGTGATGGATTATCAGCAAAAAAATTTTGTCGGTAATTATCGACGGAAATTCAATTTTACTAACGGAAAGGCATTAACGACCGACGAAATTTTTTTGTTGCTAATTCCATCGGAAATACTTTTATTGATGAAAAATTTCAGCAATAAAAATGATTTTTTAATAATGATGGAAATAAACTAGTACTTAATAAAAATGTCAAACTTTAATATTTTGATAAATAAAGTCATGCAAAAGTTTGAATCAAATCCATCAGCATGTAGAACTATATAAAAAAATTTAAATATCTTTCTTATTTGTTAAATATCTAGTAATTGTATCTCCAACGAAAATATATGGAATATCTCAATCCAAATGCACAAGGAAAGTGAACATAAATTTACGTGTCAAATCCAAACTATTGTCACACATTATGATATTAAGAGGAAGTAATTATGCCAAGCGATTAAGGTTGGACCCCAACTGAAAATACATATTTGGTTAATATTATAATTACCAACTCATTCAGAGAAATAATGATAATGCAAATCTAGTAAGCTGGCACCTCATTGTGGTTGGAAGGATTGTGAAAATGATTTGCCTTCTTTTTAAAGCGAAGGCCACCCCAACAAATTAAATTAACCAAGAGATCCTTCGAATAAAATTGTCATGTTGAAGCCAAAGCAATGTTGCAAACACGACGAAATTTTATGTAGCCATCATGGGTCATGGAGATTCAGTTCTTTTGGGGGGTTCCCTTTGGTTTAAAGTTGTCTTTCTTTGTATAAATCAGCATGGGATGGCACTTGAAAATGAAATTCACCAAATTTAATTATAGGTGAAGTCACAAGTAAAGTTAAGAAAAATGTTTTTAAGTTTATAAAATAATAGGTTAATATCATATATGATCTCAAACTATAATAAAATATTTATATGATACTTAAATTTTAAAAATTTTTACTGTACTTGAATTGTAAATTTGTTAACTATAGTAAAATTTACCTGAATAGCTTAAAATAATAATATATGATGAACACATTATTCTCTAAGTCTTACATTAGTTAATAAATTAGCAGTTCAGATATCATTATATATTTTTAAAGTTCAAGTACTATATTAAATATTTTTTTATAATTTAAAGACCATTTATGATATTAACTATAAAACAAATCAATTTTGATCATACAGATAAAGCTCCACACACAAAAAAAAAAAAAAGGTCTGGGATAGAATTAGATCAATTTAAAACGCAATTGAAAATAAAAGTCGGGTTCATAGTAATAAATTCCCACTCTCATTTTTTTTTTTTTGTTTGAATCAATTTCATAGTAATAGTAATTTAAGTTGATACTTCAACAATTTGGTGAAATCAAAAGCTAGAGCACAAACACTTCATTTGGTGAAATCATCCAACAGCCACAAAATTGTTGTTTGCAATCATATTAAGAATAAATTAACAAAACCACAAATGGTCGACTTCCTATGCATAAATAGGGCAATGTTATTGATTTGGGCCGAAAAATGGCAATACACCTATAAAATATATTCTTATATTTGAAACAATTGGGTGGTAAAGGAAAAAAAATGTCATCAACAAGAAGTAAGCTCATAATTGTGATGGTCATCTTCAACCTACAGAATCAAACTTTGCCAAGGTTCTAGATAAAAAGGAAGAGGAAATAACGATTGCATGTCTTTTAGGACATGTCAACGAGACAACTCAATATGCAATCAAACTAAAAACAATTTTGATTATCCTTTTTTTTTTTTTTTCCGTTTGCTTTGGTTGGCCAGGATTCACATGCTCTTGCACTTGTATCATTCACGCTAAAGAAGAAAGAAAAAAAGCCGACAACCAAAAGAAGGAGAATTATAGAAGCTCAAGAAGAATCAAGAACATTTTGAAAACAACCTCCAACTTTGGTTTATATTGGTGGCCTTTCTTTTCCAAACTTCTCTCATCTTTCTTTCAGATTCCTGGAAACAGAGAGAAGAATAGTTAAACAGTGAAGCAGGATAGCCTCTTTTTTCTCTGTTAGAAGCTTTTCTTTTGGTCATCATCATGGATGTTTCTATGAAGAAAAGAACTCTGCTTAAGGTCATTGTCCTAGGTGACAGTGGGTAAGATTTAATTTTCCCATTTTTTTATATATATTCCCTTTTCCTTTCCTCCTTTTTTTTTTTGTTTTTGTTTTTGCAGGAACTAGTTTGTTTCAATTGTTCACGACTCAAGTTATGCTTGACTGTTTATATCTCATGATTATTCACTTCAACTTTCTTTTTTCTTCAGGGTGGGAAAGACATCTTTGATGAATCAGTATCCTCTATCACTAATAAGTGATCGAGTAGTGTCTGATATCTATAGTTATTACTACAGGCTGGTTTTAGAGGATTCTTTTGACATAGATGCTTTTCATCTTTACTTTGTTGGATAAGCCATCTGCAGTTTTCATTTTTCTGCATTGGTTGTCACAGATTGTTGTTACTACTACTGTTTCCTTTTTTTTTTTTGGGGGGGGGGGGGTGTGAGGGGAAGGGGAGGATAAGTGCTACTACTCCTGTCTTGGCCAGAAAGAGAATGATATTATTCATTTGCTGTTCTGAATCTTCTGATGGCAATAATATATATAATGGAACTTGGAGCTTCCCTTGGTTCGTGTAGCCACTGATATTAAGTAGGTCTGGAGTTAAAATTCTGACGCCAGCACAATTCCTTCCCTTTGCGGCCTCCAATGTACCAATATATATAGTGAGGTGGTTTGGAGGTGCTGATTTGGTATTGTACTGGAAATGTAGGCAAGCAATGGCGGCTTGGTGAAGGAAGAGTGAACGGTGAAGGTTCATCACCCAAACCAGATGACCCCATCGTGACTATAATAAGCGGCTAGACTGATTTTTTTATAGTTGTCTTGATTGTGTTGGTTGAATGTTATACCAAAACCGGTTGACAGCATTACTATTAGGTACACTTTTGTTTGAATGAATTTGCTTTATGAACATCAGTATATTATCGAACATGTTCTCTTTCAAACAGAACCTTCTATAATGGCTGGCTATCAGATGCTTATTTCCACCCCTTTGGTTAATTTATCTGAGATTTATTGACGATGAATCTTCATTTTAGTTGAGCAGTTAAAGATTGAGAAT